ATCTGAAAACAAGTGCTTGTTATTAGTTTGAAACGTGGTTCCATAAACCTAAATAATGTAAAATCAATGCTATTTGTGGTAATAAAATTTAGTTATATAACAGTATCTAAGGGACAAATAAATCGAAAAATTGTTTTTTTGTGAAGAAAAAAGTTTCTCCAACCTTGACGATATCTATCAAAACTATATCAGGGAGCGCAACCAAATCTTTCAACAAAAAATAAGCACCTTTTAAGTATTGTTTAAGCACTCAGAAATATTTTTAAGCACTACACACGTTAACAAAACGCAAAATAATTTTCAAAGACTTAACTCTCGACATAACTCTTTCCTTAATTATATTAGCCATTATAAAATGATCACGAGATTTTTCGACTCGATATCAAAGGATGGAAAATGAAGTCTGAAATAGAGAATATCTTGTCAACTGCAGCAGAGTTGCACATGAGAGTGCAATAATCTCGCCGAACACAGCTCAGTAAAAGCACAAGCAGACTCGCAAGTATTTCATCATACATGTAAAATTATTGGAGCTTTAATATGTTAGTTATGTACCGACGGTAAGCTGAAATGGATTGTTGTTGAATGAATTGTAAAAATGTTAGATAGAACAATATAAAAAGCACGCTTTTGTATAATACGTGGCGAAAAATCGTCATGGTAAAGAAAAAAAAAATCTCATTTTCAAAAAGGGAAAATTACGCACTGAAAGAGCACCTTTAAACACTTTTTAAAAAAGCTACGCACCCTGTTTAAAGAATGACGAGTCCTCTGCCTGGCTTTTAATATACCTATTTAAATTAATTATATGTAGAAATAGACAAAACTTTGAATCTTTTCTTTTATTAAAATAATACATTAACTTCCTTGTGACCACTGGAAGAAATACTTTCTGAAACTACGAAAACTCCGTATATGGAGGGTACGTACCTCCTCAAAATCTTTGAAAGCCGGTCTGAAATCTTTGGTCGTAACTTTTAACAAGAACTTATAATACCTCAATTCAAAACCCCAATTAAACACTAAAAGCCGGTATTTTTTAAAAACCATTTAAGAGGAAAAAATTTGGTCTAGATAAAAAAAAAAAATATTACAAGCACTGAAATAAAAAAAAAGAGCTTTACATCGTTTGAAATATATATTTAACGTCATACGTTTTACGATAAAATATACAGCTGCTAAAATATACAGATCGTTACGGTAAGTGTTTGGTGATAAAAATAAAATTTTATGTATTCCATAAATCCCACGACATAAAATGTTTCCTACTCAATGCCCCAGTATAACTGCCAGCAGTTTTCTAATCATAGTGCACCGATACAATTTCGTAACCCTGATTGGGTAACAATCGCAGTCAGTTTAATAACTCACTAATATTCTCCATTTGCAATAAGTTTTACTTCAATTACAATTTTTTAAACTTACTAGTTCCATATGCTTAATCAGGGTGCGTAGCCGAATTATTCAACAAAAAATAAGCACCTTTTAGCACTTTTCTAGCACTCAAAAATTATTTTTAAGCACTTTAAAAAAATATAATTAGGCAGGATTGGAATGTTTTTGACAACTGACAGTTTTTTCTTGTTTTAACAGTCGTATAAAAAAAAAATTCTTTTGGCATTGTTTTTGACAATTGTCAAAAATTAGGAAATTTTTAATCGTGTAGAACGAATGGCGTTTTCATACGCTACGGACGCTAATTAATTATGAAAACGTTGAACAGAACAGTGTGAACTGTGTCTTTTTGCATAATTCGAAGCGAAAATCAACACAGAAAAGGAAAAATCTCATTTTGAAAAAGGGAAAATTAAGCACTTTTTAAAAACACTCAATGAAAAAACACCTTTAAAGGCTTTTAAAAATCGGAAATAAGCACCTTTAAGCACTTTTTAAAAACGCTATGCAGCCTGTCAATCTGTCACGAAAAAATGGTGCTAGAAGGTTGAGGAACTCATATTTGCCCCCCCCCCCCTCTCCCTCATGAAATCCATAGGATGAAGACCTTTGAACATTTCATTCAGCTAGTATTTTAGGATAAATTAAAATTACTTCAGGGCACGAAACCAGACTTTTAAACAAAAAATAAGTACCTTTTAAACACTCAAAAAATATTTTTAATCACCTTTCAAAAAAAAAAAAAAAATCATAATTAGAATCTGTGCAGCAACAAAAAAAATTTTCCTATTGTTTAAAGTTCTTAATTTACAAACATAAAATCAATAAAATTGAAAAATATTTTCAAATACTTTACATAATAATGATAAAATAACTAATTCCTGATGAAAATTGCAGAGAAAATAGTGAAAATCATGTATTTTTTGTAATTTAGAATGACAATCGACACGGAAAAAAAAAATTATTTTTAAAAGATAGAAAATTAAACCCTTTTTACAAACCACGAATTTAAAAAAAAAAAAAAAAAAAAAAAAAAAAAAAAAAAAAAACACTTTTAAGGGCTTTTAAGAAACGTAAATGAAAAATAGGCATCCTTAAGTACTTTTTCAAAACGCTATGCAACCTGTCCTTTGAAATGCGTATAATATAAATTTCTGGTTAACTACTAAATAAAAAGAATTAAATTCGTGAAAAGCAAAAAGTTTTTGTTTAAATTTGACACCTGCAGCAAATAAAGTTTCTTGTAAATCATTTCAAAAAATTTAGACGTAACGTTTTTTAAAACGGAAAATACCAGATTCAACGTTCCTTGAGTTTAAAAAAAAAAAATAATAATCCGAAGATAAAATACAAATTTGTGATTTAAATCTCCATCAATTTTAAAATAAACATTAATTTGAGACATAATAAGCACCGAAACGGAACATAAGTTATGACAAACTGGTTGATATTAATAAGTTGAATAATAAGAGAATTCTTGCGGCTAAGCCGGAAACGAGATTATCAAAAAAGAAAGACCGGTTTAGAGGATCTTAAAAAGCAAACAGACGGACTTCGTGTGGTCAGTCCAAACAATGCTCAAGAAAAAGTAGGTCACTATATCATTCTCAAACGGGTACAACTATTTAGATATAAATAATGTAGGTGGCTAGTAAGACAATTATGGGACTCAGACAGTATGTCCTTTTTATTTTAGGAGATGAAAAGGGATTACAGAGGACTGAAAAAATGTCTGAATGAAGATTAACAAAAGGATTTATCAACAAACTATTTGTGTGACCAAATGATCCTCTTAAATTTTTAAATAAAATTCAGCAAAGATTCCGACTCAAGAGAAATTTTAAAAGACGAAAATAATGCTAACATTCAGCCGATGGATTGTAACTCAGCACACATTTAGGACTGTGAGCAGTGTTGCCAGGACTTCAAGATTAAAAAGTAGCGAATGGGAGCTCCAAAAGTTACCGATTCGAACATTTTGTAGCCCCCCAAATAATTCGATTTTTAATTATCATTTATAAATATATATATAGCAAATAGTATAAAAGGATTTCGTATGATTCTATTAAAATCTGTTAGTAAACATAATTAATGTTGCTTCTTGATTTTTTCAAATATTAAGCATACATAGTCAACAAATTTCGTGAATTTTTAACCATAATTTAATATTTTCGCTTTAAACACAAATAATGAGTGCATCACATTATGCATAAAGCAGATTGCGAAGTTATAAATCATAACGAATCTCTTTAACAGTGATTTATAAAAGCATATAAATGCATTTTATACCAAAATTGACACTAAAACTGTTGTGACACCGAATAAAATAAATTTATCCTAAAATGTAGCGCGATAAGGTAATATCGTAAAATAAACTCCTTTTTTTTTAACTCTTAATTTAGAAGACAAAATAAAAAACGTATTAATAGCAGACTAAAATAGGAAAAATTAATATCACATGTAAATACTTTTAAATTTGGGATACAAAAATATTTTGCAAGAAAGCAATACCTTTATGACTCAATTTTATACTGATGGCAAAAAAAAAAAAAAAAAAAAAAAAAAAAAAAAAAAAAAAAAAAAAATTNAAAAAAAAAAAAAAAACCATAGAAATAAATGTGGATTAATTTTTTATCGTAAAAATGAAGTCACAAATTATACTTTAAAAACGGACCCTTCACAACGTAGTTTAACTTAAATTTGAATTTCTTAAAGTAATTTACCTTAAAAACGAAACAGACACAAAATATTTCTGAATAAAGTAATTTATTTTTTTAAATGGACTCTACGAAATTCTTTCGAAAAATGGAGTCTAATTCATAATTTAGAAATAAACTTTTTAAAATACTTAGTTTTTTTTTCTCTCCACAAAAACAGAATCTTGACAGAAAATATGCAATTCTAGGTTAACTTTGGATTCAGATAATCATGAGTAAATTTTGAAAAAATTCACTAAGCAGGAATTATAAACTGGGAGGAACACAGGTTAAAAACACCTAATTTTCAAACTATTATCATCAGACTTTTCGCTATTTCACAAAAACAGGACTTTCTACAAGTAATCTAGAAGAACACATGCAATTTCAAGCATAACTATGGGAAACTTAATACGGAGACCAGAAGGCTAAAATTCTATTTCAAATATAACTCAAATTTTAATACGCATAATAAATACGCATTTAAATATGTCTCAGAATGAAAAATTAATTTGTATTTAAATCAAACAACTTCATTCATGAGCTAAATTTCTGTTTTTAAGATTTTCACACATTATAATCATTAGTGAAAAAATAAAACGATAAAAAAAATCACTCGATTATGGCACAAATTTGCGATAAAGTTACGCAAAGATAAAGTTGAGCTTACTAACAAAATTATTTCAGCAAAAGAAAAACGCAATAAAAAATAAGCAATACATAAAAACGCACACGGAAATGCGACACAAAGTATAAAAATCGTGATGCGTTGAAATAAAGGAAAGAAAAACAATAAATCAAGACATTTGAAGCATTAAAAATGCTGTTGCAACTTAAAAACGAAATACAACAGAAATAAACGTGAATTTGAAAGAATCGATTATAAATTATAACTGACGCAATACTCACAATAATCATGAATGAAATCCACGTAGTCATCAGCATCCGACAAGCGCGATATTCCAGAATATTTATCTAAATTTGAGGGCATTTTCAGAGATATCTCAGTCATATATTTAAAAACACACAAGCACCAGAATATTTCGAAACGACACAGTGAAATTAAATGGGATTTTCAAACACCTCCCGAAATTCGTGGAGTTGAGATGTTTAAAAACTTAGCTAATCAATTTTTGAAGTTAGCTCGCATAAATATTACGTCACGCAGTATCAATGAGGTGATCCGTGCCCTGAACAAAATCACATGCGAGTGCAAAATTGAAGCGACATCCAACTTAACCCCCATAGTCGAGAGGTTATTGTCATTTCTTCATACGTTTGAAGAACAGAGGTAGAGGGTTCGATTTCCGCTATATTGAATTAATCTATGTGATGCCCCAGTATCTGTTTAGTTGGACATGGGCTTATTAGCATTTCTGGTACAGATTTATGAATGATGGATTACATAAAAGACTACGGGACAAGAATCTTCTTCGACAGTCTTTCCAATAGTTATCGATATATGTAAATAATTCTTTTAATTGCAGGTTTAAGTTTTAAAAAAATATTAACCAGAAGCATTTAATCAGCACAGGTAATTCAAGTTCTTCGTCCTGGGACAAGGTTCGATTCTGATTCCTTATAGAAAGTTAGCCTGGTCCTCCCGTTAGCGCTGAGAGGCTGATCTCACTGAAATATACTTCTTACTGGGGCATTTTATATCCAGCGTCAAACAGCCGATCCGATTTTGGGCTTTCGACTACATTCAACTCTGTAGCTTTGTAATTTTTAACTCAATTCATAAGACAAGAAAACTTGTGGATCAAGCATCAGAACAAACTAGCCACCATAGAGAGCTTTATGATGGAATGAAACTGAATTTGCGCTACATGATGAGGAAAGCATCCTATTGCTAGACACGGAAAGGGAGTTCTAACCCATAACTTCTCCACTACTGAGGATATTTAACGTTAGCACTGTGCTTAGTGCGAGCCGGGAACAGAATTCGTATCTAGCAGCCATTGCTATGAATCAAATCTTGGTGGTTACCTCATTGGGAGAAGGGTGATCTATCCGTTGAGCCACCACGACTCCTTATTAAGAGATTGCTGTGAATGGCTCAAACATGACGGTTAGGTTTGACATTAAATTTGAGATAATCAACTTGTGAGAGCCATTATTATTATTTAGATCGTCATTGATCACGCAAGATTTTTATGTATTTATTGATAATTATTTACTGCAACAGACAAATGACGAATTTTTGCAATTTGGCTACTGGCCATAGATTTTATATTTTATTTTATAACCGTCGTTGAACAGCCGACCCAACTTCATGGGTTTACGACTACTAACGTTCAACTCCGTAGCCTTGTAATTTTGAACTAATCCAGAAGACAAGGAAACTCCTGGATCAGTACCCCCAGAGGTATTGATTTGTTGTGGGAACATGGAGGACTTTGAGACTCGACAGATTTAACGTGCATCAGTCACCATTTACTACACGGGGAGTCTTCGGCCGGCGAGGATCGAACCCACGACCTCTTGGATATGGGCCCAGCGCCCTACCGACCAGGCTATCCCGGCCTACTGGCCATAGATTGTGAAATGACAAATTTTCGTCATACGGACGGGTATATCCTAAAAACGTACACATACTTAACTTTCTGTTGAATTGGTGGTAATCGCCGAGATTCGCAATTTTAAGTAACATTCCGTTTGTAAGTTTTGCGCTTGCTCGTAAGCTTCTTAATGACTTTTCAGCTCTAATTAGTTAGCCAGAACATGAAGAAGCAAATCGGTTTATAGCTCAGGCAACATACCACACCATGGAAGATAGTAGACGATGAAAGAAACTGATTTTGAATAGAGGTCATTTACCTCAAGATTAATTAAACAAATTAAATAAGTTTCTTTCAAATACAAAATTATTTTTCGGAAGACGCTTAAAATACGAAACAAACCTGGATTTAAACTTTAAAATATATATAATTTAAGAAAAAACATTAGATTTCAATTGTATTTATAATTTTGTTTTTAACTTTTTTTCTCTCTCGATTAGAAACTATTTTATTTAGGATAACTATAACCAAGGTTGGCAGGTATTAAACATAAACCAGTTTTTGAGAGTTTTAACCACATGGTTTAAGCAAACATTTCAGGTGGTTTCAAATGTGTCGCTCAACTGCGATAGAGGCAATCTAAAAAAAATCGTTTTCTCTTCTTCTTGGAGAAATCTGTATTGTCTGTCAAAATAGCAATCAAAACTAAGGTTTACGATGACAGTGTCTTTTAACACACAATATAAAAAGGCAACGATTTTAACCAAAAATCCAAGATGGCAATTTGTAGAGGGCAGCATTGACTGCCACAAGCAACCTAAAGCAAATATATCGCATCTGTTGATATATTTAAAATTACAACTTTTTGGAAGAAAATTTTTCTTTGGAAAAAGAAAACCTTTTAATTATGAAAGGAAAACTAGAATTTCTTCCAGCTTTTAGGTCAAATTTTTATATTTCTCTATTTTTTAATGCCACATTCAAATTTCCACGATCTTTTTTTTCTTCCCATTTTTTCCCGAGGAGCATGAATATTATGATTTAATGTTCTGAAACAAAAAGAAATCAGTGTTCCGCCCTTTGTGTTAAAAAAGGGTGTGTAGCCAAATTATTCAACAAAAAATAAGCACCATTTAGGCACTTTTATAGCACTCAAAAAATATTTTTAAGCACTTTAAAAATATAGATAGGCAGGGTTGGAAAGTTTTTGACAATTGACTGTTTTATCTGGTTTTAACAGTCGTGTCCAAAAAAAAAAAAAAAAAAAAAAAAAATGGCCAGGACAGTTGCACAGTNAACTTTTGGCATTGTTTTTGACAATTGTTAAAAATCATGAAATTTTGAATCAATTAAAACGAATGGCGTTTTCACGTGCTACGAATCGACAATGCGCCGAAATAGATTAGAGTTGAATGAATCGTGAAAAAGCTGAATAGAACAATGTGAACTTTGTCTTTTTGCATAATTCGTAGAGAAAATCAATATGGTAAAGGAAAAATTTCATTTTGGAAAAGGGAACAAATAGCACTATTTTAAAAAGCCCCAATGAAAAAAAGCACTTTAAAGGGATTTCAAAAGTCGAAAATAAGCACCTTTAAAAACGCTAGGCACCCTGCTTAAGAAGGATGGCCCACTCAACCGGTCTTTGAAACGATCCTGCTCAGGAGAGCTTCCTTCCCTAAATAAATGTCTATATCAGTGGTGCCTAAATAATGTTCTAAGGGTTTTGTGGAAGAATTAAAATGGTACCGACAGTATATTTTTTTCACCAGCAATAATTTTAGAAACCTTTAATTATATCTCGCCCCAATCTATTAATAATTTAATATTTCTAGGGTATCTGCTACATTTTAGAATTTCAAATTCGTGACTTTCCATGACTAATTCCAAGGATTTTTCATGATTTCACGAAGTTACTATTTTCTCCGACAAAAACACAACAGTAAGTTTAAAAAAGCATTGTAATAACATTAAAATGATAGGTATAACCCAGGGATGAGCAAACTACGGCCCGCGGATAGAATTTTAACTTGCTGATCCGTGGCGAAAATAAACAATATACATCCATTTTCTTGTCTACTTTGTTCAAAGTTATTTTTCATCTTTCTTTTTTAACAAACTACTGATGACCTTTTAACTTTCTCTAATTTTTGTTCTACAAAACAAAAATTGATGTAAATAGCTAGTAACACCGACAGCTTCATTTGGTAAAATGTTGAAAGCTCTTCATAGAATAGCCGTAGATTGGTGCCATCTGAAGCAGTTGCTTTTAAATATGCCAAAAATTGAGTTTTACAAATCATTACCAAAAGCTGGTTTCCCTAATTTAATATTTCATGCCCAGAAAATCCGTACTATGTTTGCTTCATTTTACTTATGTGAACAAGTGTTTTCATCTTATGAACCTTAGAAAAAATCATTTCAGAAGTAGACTAACAGACAAACATTTACCCTCGTTCCTTAAAATAAGTACATCTCACTTAGAACCTCAATATAAGGAACTTTTATTAAAATGAAATCAAAATTTCATTCATCTCATTAAATATTTATATAAAAAATTATATATCGTTTTTTTTTTTTTTTAAAGAAATTTTTACTGAGCCAACCAAACTTTTCCAATTTTTGGCCCTCGACCAAAAAAGTTTGCCCATCCCTGGTATAACCAAACAGTTATACTCTGCATCTTCATATTTATAGAATTTAAATTTGAAAAACAGAGTAAAGAAAGAGTTGAAGCAATAAAACAGCTGGAAAAAAATATACAAAATGATTCTTTTCTTCTGCAGAATTATATTCCAAAGATACTTTTCTTGTTCATCGGAAAGGAAAGAAATACTCCTGACTTTTCTGTTCTCATTTCGGAATAATAATAAAAAAAAAAAATGCCAATGACTGCTTCAGCTAGAATTTTAAATTGATAAAATAAAAAATAATAACAAAAATTCTGAAATCACAGAAGTTTAAAAGATAATTCGCTCTAGAAATGTTTTTTCTTTCATTTTTTGAAAGAACACTATAATTTAAAAAAAAAACATGATAAAAACATTTTATATTTTAATAAAATATGACTGTGAGTGGGGGTTTTGTTACAAATGCAGATATTCGGAACACCATGAAATTGGGGGTGGGGCTAAACTCCATTTTAAAAATGAAATTTTTCGGCGACCGAAATCCATGACTTTCCAGGTGAGCAGATATCCTGTATTTCAGTTACCATTACGAAATTATTCAAAGTAAGATGCTGATAAAAAAGATAATTCTTCAAAAAAAAAAAAAAAAAAAAAACATTTTAAAATACTAACTATACATTTAATAATTTATGAAGAGAACATGCATTTATAAAAAATGCATTCAAATCACGCTTTTCATATCAAAATAAAATGACTAACTTTAAGCGTTTAGTGGATGACACCTGATGCTAATAAATTTTTTTTAAAATATTAATTCATTAATTGAATTTAATTAATTAATTTTAGTTTTACATGGGATAATTTTTTTTAATTATTTAATAAAAAGTAACTAAAATAAAAAAAAAATTATATTGCTTGTTACCTAGTTCAAATTCAGAAGTAAACTTATACACTCAATAAATGTAAAATCCACTCTGGATCTTAAAAGGAACAGCCTTTTGGAATAATTATTACTCTAGAAATGCAATATTCCAGATATCACAAAGAACGCTTTAACAATTCTGTTCACATGTTATAGTGTGTCAAGCATGCTAAAAATCGTACCAGGGAAGCAAAAACTAAATTATGTTGCATCCTCTGGGATGTGCAATTTTCCATTAAAAAAATAATAAAAACAATAGTC